TCATATGCCTAACATCCACGTTGATTGCTAAATCGTTCTTACATCTTAGAAAATAAGAGTACTTTGTGTTGTATCGCTCAATATTATAAAAAACTGATACTTTAATACTGTAAAACACTGTAACTCACTATTATTTGAGCAGAAAAATAAATTTTTTTTTGTGATTTAAGATTTAAATCACGGTTAAATCACTGCTAAAGCTTAAATCTTTAAATCACGTCTGCATCAGTAGCGTAACGTTAGCAAAAACATTAGGGTAGGAAGCATTAAGTGAGCGCTGCGTACCAAATTTACTGAAATTTTGCACGAGCAGAAGTAAAATGAAGCTATACATTATTTAAATAACTTTTTACATAAATCAATAAAAAAAATCCCTTATTATCTGAAATGTTAGCGCTTAAACACTTTATTTTTTTTTATAATAAACTATCTAACAACTACCTGGTAGTTGTGTTAAAACGTAATAGTTTCCATACTACCAACACAACGTGCCAAAGTGCATAAAAATTTTACTGCGAAACTCACTGTTATATTTGATTAGTACGTAAATCAATTAAACGTGAGATCTATGCAACAATTACCTTACTACGAGCTATATGGAGAAGAGAACTACAGTAATTTTCACTGTTAAACTGGCGTAATGTTTCGACGGTACCTTATTTTTCTGTCATTCACTATATTTTCTCCCTTTTCTCAGGATAATTTTTATCGTACAGTTTTCCAGTGATAATTGACAGTGTCCCAACATGTCCGTTGCTTACGAAAAAAGTAACTGCAGTTCTTTTCTCCGTGTAGTTCAGGATTTTTTACAGTGCCGGTGTTATATCTTGCCCATGCTATTGGTATATTTGGTGCCTAAGGCATTTATATCAACAAATAATTGTAAAATGCTATACTTCATCAACTGCTCGTGCGAAATGCCGGTAAATTTGGTACGCAGCGCTCAGTTAATGCTTTCTACCCTAATGTTTTTAGCTTTGCTAACGTTACGCTACTAATGCAGACACGCAATGTTTCATCAAAACATCTTAGCTGAGCTTCTTTATTTATGTAGGCAAAACGCCGCTAAAGCCGAGACGCAGAGCTCATACCATTTTCCTAAGCCTACTGCCGTTGTCTCTCTTAGCTTGGCGCCACTAATACTGCCACGCTGTGTTCATAATGTGAGCTGTGACGTAGCGCCTTCGCTTCTGTAGTCAAATCGCCGCTGAAGTCGAGACGTAGCACTTGTAATAAGTATAGTATCATGTTGTCCTTAATTATGTTGCGTTAAGTTTCAATTTTTTGGAGACGTTTTGTACAGAAAAACTTGAGATGATATCACAGCAGCAATGAAAGCCATATTAAATAGAAGAATAGTGCCCTTTAAATTTATATACCGATAGAGATAAAGAATTTTATGGCAAAACTTTTGAAGGTCTTATGAAAAAGTACAAAATCAATCTGTATAAAACTTACAGTAACCTTTATTCATCAATATTTGAAAGATTCAATCGCATATTGAAAAAAAATGTGGGTTAAATTCAGTTTAAATGGTATCTATAAATGGCTTGGCTTACTTCCAGACTTAATTACAGTCTATTGTAACGTACAGTATCTAGAACCTTTGTAAGTTCGCGCCCAAGACTCACCTTTCACGGCGCATGAGCAGCGGATACAGAGTATGATGATCACCTTTCGGCGGTGGGCCCGAGCGTTATCAGCTCTTCCGCGCTCTCTCTCTCCGATCAGCCTCCGAACCTATCGCCACGCACGCGACTGCTCTCGCTTTGAGACTCTAATAAACGAACATATACTTTCTTCCACGTGTATTCAATTCCCTTACACCCCGAAACTCCACAATTCCCACGTAACACTATAATAATCGAAAACATTGCACAACATCTCTGAAACTAAAAAATATCACATCAACGAATGAAGCTGAACATTTGAAACGCTACTAAGTAAGCCTGGAAGAAAAAAATACAAAATTTAAAATTAATGATAAAGTAGGTATAAGCAAAGTAAAAAACGCTTTTGAAAAAAGTTATACACTAAATTTATCCATGGAAATTCTCACAATTCCTAATATTTCAAAAAAAAAAATCCAACTACTTACTATTTAAAAGATTTTCAAGGCCAACTAGCGTTCGGGGGCTTTTACGAACCAGAAATTTTAAAGGCCAAGTATAGTGATGTCTCTATTGAGAAGAAAGTTCTTAAAAAATGCAGTCATCAAATATATGTGAAATTGTTAGGATTTAATAATTCATATAGTACTTGGAGCAATAAATCTGATCAATTTCCTCAATATATTATACAAATCTTAATTTTTTTCCTTCATCTTCCTAAGCTTCAGTACCATGTATCCTCTGTCCTTCTCTAACTCTAATAACTTTTGTTGAGAGGTAAATTTTTTCAGCAGTACGAGTTAAGATGACAAAGTCCATTTTCTAAACCAAACCGAAAATTTAATCATTATATGTTATAGTTTACCGTATATTATGTAAAAGTAGCTCCTTACCTCAAAGTTAAGCTGACTCTCTTGATAGATGAAAAAAGTTAACACCTTTGTACCTTGTTTTGAGGAGGACTCAATCTGTTATTTGGCTCGTTTGACGTTCGAACGACTTCCTCTCAATTTTTCTTTTCATAATAGGTAGATTACATTTCACGACACTCGATACTGAAACAATGTTATAAAGTTTTATTTAGGTATACTGCAATCAATTCGATTTTTACTTTAAGTGTATTTACAAAACCTATTCTAGAAAGTATACTGTACCTTTGATATTTTTTAAAACTTTTTTTGCTACTTCTTGGAGCACCTTACACCTATCTTCTTCTTCTGATTGAGAACAAAAAGATGGACTTGATATTATTTTGTATAAACCGTTTTCTAGAATTTTAATGCATAAATAAAAATAATCATACTTAAACTATCTAATTTATAATGATCATCCAGCTTTGGCCACTCATTAATAATTATCTATGAATGACATTTCTGTAAACTCCAGATTGGTCTATGGAGCTTCTCTGCTGGAATGACTTGACATTTTCCTCGGATCATGTGATGATTTTTTTCTCCTTCTTTTTTTTTACTTGCAGATTTTTATCTTCAATTACTTTTTCTATAAACTGCTTTTTATTTTTCCTCTCTTTAGTTTCTAGAGGGTGACATAACTTTTTGAAGTAGTCGCCAATGTTTGACATTGTTGTTCTGCCCTATTCGCTGATATTATTAAAAAACAAGTATGTAAATCGATTTAAAATAGCTTTAAATAAAGTATGAGTGATCTAGAAAAATCATTTCATCTAAAGTTTCTAGACTGCAATAGTAATTTTAAACTTATCACTATTACAGTTGTTCTAACCAAATTTTGTGTATTTACATATAGACGCATCAAAGTATGGAGTAGTGACGTTATCATCATTGTTGGCGACCCTATTTTAAAGTTCCACGAACTAAGTCATTTACTTATAAAACCTATAAATAAGCAGAATGCTCGCAAATTCGAAACGTCAAGACTTCTAGAAAGTTCTACAAAGTTGTTTGCTGCTCACAATTTATTAGTCATTTTATCTGCGATACACTTGATCTGCAATTGGTAAGAGACGACACTCAACTGATAATAACAAACGGATGCAACTTTTCGTGTACTGATAGTAACAGCAACAAAGCAGTCACTGAACTGTTCGTGCATGTTGCTTTTCAGGTCCTACGCGTTTAGAATATATATATATATGTTTGTATGTATGTATATAAATATAAAATACATTATTCGCAGAATTTTGTAACGTGTATAGATACTTAAGTGTAGACCGCAGTAGCCACGCCAAGGATACTGAACGACTTGTTAATGATGCAACAATAGTAGTAATGTAGTCTGCAGTGCATAGGGCTGGACCGCAGTAGCTGCAACAATAATAGTGTATTGGGCTGCGGCACATCTCTGCATGCACACACAACATAGTGTATAGGGCTGCAGTGGAGAATAGAAGTAATGGTGACAACAATGGCGACGATGAGATCCCTGCAAACACGCACTGGCACCTTACAGACACGATAAAAATGAGAACTCCGCGTTTTACTTGCGACGAGACTACGACGTTAACGACACCAACGATGGTTGCAGAGCAGCATAGTGAGCGCCTATATGCTGCAGGCATGCCACAACGCCGCGCGCCAGCGGTGGCTGAAAAAAGTGCGCAGTAATATCAGCGTGTAGCTTAGATGGAATTTCGCGTTCGACAAAATCTACGTTACGTGTAGCCAAGGTGAAAATCTGTACTACAGTAGTATACCTATCGGCTGAACACAACGTAGATTTCTATTTTAACTGCACACTTGCAATAATAAAAAAAATTAAGGCAAGAAAAATTTGCTTATATTTTTAGTTTGTTTTTTCTATAATTATTTATAAAAATTGTAGTTATTACTTTTTTCTATAATTAAAAAATTTCTAACATAAGAGACTGAGGTAGTAGGAGTAAAGTAGTAGGGGCGTGAGGTCAAAGGGGTTTGAGGTCGCTGCCAGGCCGAAAAACCCTATGAGAATTTCATAACAGTGGGGATTCTAATGCAGCTACGTTATAATACTCATTGTTTAAAAATCCGCATAGTTTACCTACTATATTTTTTTAATATCAATGTAAAAAATCGGATTTGCAAAACGTAAAAATAAGAGAAGTATTATACAAGCGTCATTTTGCCTGCTTTTTATGTGATTTACAGGTACATTATACATGTTTAACATTGCAAATATTTGGCAGCTTATTATAGTTATTACAACTAAAGGAGTGATATGCAGGCTAAGGGTAAAAATGAAAAATTTCAACTTAACTGTAACAAAAATCATAAGATTGTAGCAGAAGTAACAAGAAAGTTGTAGTTCTGTCTTACCGAGTTAAATTGTTGAATGTTAATTTAAAAAATATGAAGCTAGATTAAATTTTAGTGTTTTGTATAACCATAAGTAAAATAATTTTATCAACATATTGTTTCATTTGTTATTATTTAGACTGGACAGCCAAAGATGAGGATGATGAAGACATCAGTGTCTGGGAGGACAACTGGGATGATGACGACGTAGAGGATGACTTTAGTCAACAGCTGAGGTAATTAGCTATACTTATTAATATTTCATTTATTTATTTATTCATTTGACGTCCTCACAATTGTAGATTACTCATTGAGTTGTTAGTAACAATGCTAAGTACTTATTCCTACGATTACAACTTTATATAGGAGAAGTTTTAAATAATATGCAGGTATAAACCTTTGTAGAAGTAATGAGCATTAAAACCTGTTTGTCCTATCTTAGTTAGTAAAAATAATTTGCTTAGTAGTTTTTGTTTCTTGTTATTTTGATGATGCAAAAAAACACTGACTGGATACAGACCATCGTTATGGTTCAAGCAATCATTTTAGCATTATTAGGTTGTTTGTTATACCAAAGCATCCCTGACTGTAAAAATCTATAAATATTTCTTGATCATCCAGAAGTGCTCAAATGTCTTCTTGATGATCAAGGAGTGCTCAAAGCTTTTTAAATCATCGAGAAGTGTTAAAAGACTTTGTTGATCCTAGAGAAGTGCTAAAAGGCCCTTGCAATAGTCGAAAAATGCTTTGAAGCCGAGACGTATTCAGAACCTTTTTTGATTGTCAAGAAGTGTTAAGAGGCCTTTTAAGTGGTCGATCAGTTCTCGTAGGGTTTCTTAACCGTCGAGAAGTGCTTGTAAGCTGGACTATTTAAAATGTTTAATACAATCTTTCAGTGGGGTAGTGAAGCAGGATCAGGGGTGTGGAAAGCTCACGTCATAACGGACAGAACGTAATGCAGCTTATTCCTATGGCATTGCATGCATTGATCTTAAAAACCAAACCGAAGTTTTTTTTATGTTCAAAACCATGATTTTCTCTTTAATTAGTATGGATACAAGTCAACATCATAGGATCATAGAATTTCGCAGTATTTAAAGTATCAAAATATATTTTTTGTCGATTTTGTAACCATTTTTAAGGTATGTTATTTCCAGTCGAAAAAATTTTCCTATAACAGCCCGTGTTGAATTATTTATTTTTAAAGTTATACTTCTATAAGCGCGTTATGCGGGAGGGTGAATCAACGATTTCAGATTTTGACCTTGAGAAAAAGTGTGATAAAAGTGGATTTTGCTTGGTTCTCCCCCTTCGCCTCGCCTCCCATGACGTACTTCCGGTTTCCTCTACACCACATGATCCCAAATGACATCACCACGCCACACATTTTGAATTTTATAAATTTTTTTTTTTTTTCTTTCGTTTCCAAAGAGATTCGAACCCCAGACCTCCTGCACACTGGTCGAGGCCCTTACGCACTTTGCTACGAACTGTCACACTAAAAAGAATCCGATTCTCGCATGTTATGGTTTAGCTCGTAACTTATTTTTTTTGTAAATTTTCATTTAATGTATATTAATTCATTCGTTTTAATTATAAATTAGGTTAGTAAATAATTTACTTAAATGATATTTTTTTTTTAAATGTTTTTTCATGAAACTTGGAAATTAGTGCATTTTAGCAGAGCACCTTTCCAATGTATTGATAAATATGTATTCCTGTATACTTAGTTTGGTACTTCTACAGCAACTAAGTAATTGTTTATGCAATTTTTCACATTTTTTTCAAAAATTTAAGAAAAAGTTTTTTTTGTACTGCACAAGTACAATAACTAATTTTTACTGTGCTTTATTCTTTTAGAATTTTTGCATTTGTAGTTAAAGTGATTTTTTGACTTCAAGGACCTTCTTCACATAGTTGGTGGAGGAAAAGTTCAGAGAAGTGAGTAGGACGCTAATATGGGCAGTTAAGCTAGCAATTGTTTTTCTCATGTGGATGTACTCATACACATGGTTTTACGCACACTTCATCTTCTCTTTCTAAATTCATTTAAAAATTAATTTGTGGGTCTATTTAAAAACTTGAAAGGTTTATCTAAAAGTAATTTTTTGTACCTAAAAATTGGGAGATTCCTAAAAATCATATAAATGCCATTAAGCGTGATTTTTCATAAGGTTACATGTTAAATATCGATTTTTTTAAATGTAACATATGTAAAATAATGGCATAGTCAAACGAGCTGAAATTTTTGTGGGTAGTTTTTATGCTATTTCAATATACGTTTGACGTTCGAATAATATCTGTCAAAAAAACCTATGTGTGATGAACGTCGTGAAGGGACACTCTGGTATTTGATACTACCCTATAAAAGAAAGCTATACTACAGGATGGTTTTTTTAAATTTTTTTATATACAATTATATTTTGGGTGTTGAATATGGACTAGGAATAAGTGTGTAAGCGTATGTGATAAATGGGAGCGTGACGTTACGGATGTAATCAGCGTTTAGGTAGTAGGAAGTTGTTTTGAAACCATTAGAAGGTTTGATGAAAGGGCAGTCGTGTACTGGCTAGCTTATATATTATTTTTATTATTGTGCCGTAACATATTTTTTATAATTGTGAACTCATTAAATATTAATTGAAATCATACCCAATGAATGTAGGTATACTCATTCCCACGATAACTGCACCACCTTCGTACACAATATTGTTTCATGCAAGATATTTTTATAATAAAAATTATAATGTTTGCTACTTAATTTTACAGAAGCATAATTTTATAATTATATACCCAAGCATCCACTGTCCACTGTTTTATATTGAAACATCTTAGTAACTTCATGGCTGACATCACCCAAAAAACGCACGTTTATTTTTTATAACACGCAGAATAAATCAAAAACTAAATTAGAGGTTTAAAGTATTGTCGATGATATGTATCGAACCTACTTGATTGGGTAGAAGATCCGATATCGATCAGTAATCTCGCTTAATTAATAAGAAAACTCATGCACGCTCGCATATAACACATGTAATATATCAATGTGAACATTAGACTCGATAATAGGAAGAGGCTTAATAATATGATCATCTCCTTTATTAGTTACCTTTTTTTCATTTAAAATAGAAGTTATTAAAGTACTTAGTTATTAACTCCATTTGCATGGGTCTGGATATCTTACTCTAATATGCGGTTACACTGTTGTTCACTATCAAGTTCTCGTTGGTTATCTTTAATAATTAAGTAACATGAATGAGCAATAAACTATCAATCGTATTTTCACAAGATACGTATGAATGAACTATTATTACGAGAAGTTCTATGACTTCAAACAATAAAAATAAGATTGGAAAAATAGTGTAGTGTATTGAAATACCTCTAGATCAAAATTAATATGTTCAGCCTTGTCAAACGATCATTGAGATTTCGATAAGTCTTACGGTAGTTAATCACCCACCACTTTTTAACTTCGGTTTCCTTGTAAAAAATGTATGTTATGGATTAAATTCTTCTTTTTCGGAATCAATTATAAAAAAAAAATTCCTACTACATTGATTGTTAAGATAATAAAGTTTCAAGTCCAAAATTTTAACACGGGTTACAATGGCACTTTTCGAATAAAGACAAAAAGAGCTACTTAAGTAACTAAGAAAATTCTGAGAAATATACCGTTAAAAAGTTTACAATTTGTACTATTTTATACAATTTTAAAACTGTTGGATTACCAGTATGAATACGAAGTAGTAAATCAGTTAACAATCGTCATGTAACTTATCTGCAGCATGTGTAGATGTCTCAAATATTTAGCAACAGAGCAGTCGCGTATATACAGCCATATGAAAGTGTGTATGCATAGTAAATGCATGACGATCTCGAGCGGATCGACATTGTTGCCATATCTTAGCAGAATGTAGTAATAAACCTTTTCTACATTTAAGCGTTATGCGCATTTTAAATGCACTAACAAATGATTCATTGCAGATACTCCTGCGTGTGATAGACTACCTTAAGTGTTAAATGGTGTTAAAGATCTTGGTGGTGGGGGTGTGTGAAAAGCAAGTAAATATCATCGTGCTCTCTATGCATTCTGTCCTGTATGCTGTTCCTCTCCTTACATTGACTCTCACTAATATCGTTACTTGTATCACCGTGTTTACTGTTATTATTATTTACCGTTTCAAATTTATTTCTGTTTTCTCCTTGCTGCATATAGTTGTGCAGTTACATTTTAGAGCTTTCGCTATCAATAGACTTCTTTTCATTGTCAAAATCTTGTTCAAACCCTTTTTTTTCTGTTGCTGCTTTGCAAGTATTTTTCTCAAATTCTTGTATAAATAGAAATATGTTGTTAATGTTACCGTACTGTAAGTTGGACTGCAAACTTTTATCGATTTCCTCTAAGCTGATGCACACATTTTTTTACTTGGAATTTGAAAATAAGTAATGTAGCCCGCGTAATGTCCATTGTAGATTATAGAAAAATTGAGAGTCAAACAAGCTGTTCTCTAATACTTCTATTAAAAAATTATCGATTAGTTCTAAGGTATTAGTTTTTTTCGCGTAGTTCCGGGCTTAATAACTTGTCTCAGGCACTTTCTCTTAATTACAGTATTGATATGAGTACAAGAATTCACTTGTCGATCTGTTTAGGCAAATAAACAAAGAAAACCTAAAAGTTGTTGAATGTGTTTTTTTTTATCGTTGCAACATTTCGTCAGGTATATTTTCTGATCTTATCAGGCTGAAAAGGAGTTAACGAATTGAGTAAAAACTATATGTATTACATCAAATCCCACACCTCACAATAACACAAGAGAAACTTAAAACTACAAACCTATTTACTTCGTGGGAGCGAATCGTCGAATACACTTCACGTTGAAAGTATACGTTTTGAATTATGAGTAAAAATACATACATAATATACTCACATAACTACACACAGTCAAATAAATATGACTAGAAACGATTGAAAGTATGACTAAGCGAATTGCACAATACTCAAACGCGTGGTAAGAGAGAGCTGAGTGATAACAACTTATAAAATTTTACATACGACCAGAACTACAGGACTGGAGTTACAGTTTAAAATTAGATTGTATACCTTTATACAAACGATTTAAGCCTAGAGTGTCTTCCCTTTCATTAATAGTCTTCTTAAACTTATCAATATATAACATTTCTACGATCAGTCTTTTTTGCTAATTACTTTCTTTATGTAAAATTCTTGGATTGT